AGCAGCAACAACAACAACCAGCACCAAATACCACCAACGGGAGAAATTTGAAATAGGTCACTACCCTCACTTATCTAGGAAGCATCGTTTCAACCACAAGCGGAAAGGATAAAGATGTCAAATTCAGAATTGGAAAGGGAGGGCAGACCTTCATCACTGTATAGTCAGTTTGGAAATCTGCTGTACTCAGCATAAACAACAAGATTCGAATTTTCAACACTAATGTCAAGGCAGGCAGTTCTTTAATGTGGAGCAGAAAATTGGTGCGCGCCTCACGGAAAGCATTTCCAATAGCCTGCTGCAAACTTTTATCAACAGATGCTTTCACTGGCTCTATACTGAAGATCAGATGGCCAATCGGGAAAAGTTAGCTACAAGAAACTCTGGGATCCAACCAAGAACCTGTTCCTCAACAAATATGCCGAAGAAGATGGAGGTGTAATGGACATACTCTGGGGAGACCGTTGAGTGACTTCGCGTGCTAGGTGAACCCTAGAGTGAAACCCGAATGGGAAACGTCGAGTTGGGCGTTCGAAAGTGACATGAAGCAGATCAGAAAGTATGGGCATTCGTGGGGCCGGCTTAATATGGTGGTAAAAAATAGGACAAAGTGGAAATGTGCTGCTGAAGTCCTATGTTCGACGCGGAACCCAAGGGAACAATAATAAAAAAGCAAGAATAATAAATATTGGCTAAGCGAAGTTCTGGAATGTGTTGACCGGGATTAGGACTTGTATCTCCCGTTTATTAACTAAACAATTTTAGTATAACTAAATGGTATCCAATTTTTTATCAAATCCAGTCATCTAATGTTCTTACAGTTTCTATTTGTTTATGATATAGTTTGATCATTTATGGATGACTATTAGTTCTAATTAGTCAAATTGGTTAACTCCCTAAATTTTACTTGATATATTAATCCTAAAAACTAAAGAAAATCTGCATAAACCATTGCATTCTGTTGGTTTTACTATCACTTGTTCCATTTAATTTGCAGAAAGACAGTTGGTATTTATATTCAAGTAGTAGCTAGTTACCTTCCCCCATAGTAACATCATTATCACTGTGTGTTTTCTCTTCTTCTCCTCCTTTCATAATTAATTCATATAAACTGATGATTAATCATTCATTCTTTAATTGTATACATTTTTTTGGGTGGGGGTCAGGTCATATTGTACATTCAAGTTAATAAATAATAGGCAAATGAACAAAATGTAAATACACATTATACTATGCACTGATATCACATTAATGTAAACATGTGAAATTAGTTTTACCTTATTTGGTTTCCATTTTGTTTATTTTGGAAGTGAATAGAAGAGAGAATAAAATAAACACAGACTGTAGACATTATTCATGTAGACATTGAATGGTTTAGTTCTATACACGGATAGTGTTTTAAGTAGAAAAATCAATGGTGTTACAAATACAAGTAGAAAAATAATCATAGGATTGATTAAAAAATGGAAATGATATTATCTTCCCTTATTATAAGTGTGTGTGTGTGCGTGTGCGTGCAAGTATATCAGTTACAATTCAGAATTCTGTCTATTTTAACGAAGAAGCACTTGCTTCATCTCTGGTATAGACATGATATCCAGCAGTTTATCATAGGACGTGTGTACTGTGCAGCAAGTGGCTCCGTCTTCCCTTATGTCTGTGATTGGAAAGACATGAACATAGGTGTCTGCGCTCTACATCCTGTGGAAGGTGGTATGACATGGTAGGTAATATTGATGCTTGGAGCAAAGTGTTAGGTAAAGAGGGAATGTCATTAGATGAGGTAGTGAAATCATACCGATTTAGATGGCTAGGATATGTGTTATGCGTGCTAAGTTATCGCCTTCCTTAACTGGCAAAGTTAGGAGTTTTCATAATAAAAAATGGCATCACTTCATTAAGTCTTTGAATGCTGGTTTCATTCACACAGAAAAGTGTAAACTACCTGTCTAGAGTCCTGGAGACGCTAAGATCAAATAGGAGGAGACTTTTGGTGATATCATTCGAAATTGTAATTATTATTCTTCACGTAAATTGCCGTTTATTATAGTTTCCACGCATTTCTTTTTCCTCTACCTTTATTTTAATGAAGTGTAACAACTTGAACCACTGAACTGTTGTGCAAAGTTCCAAAATAAAAATCCAATTCAATTCAGTTCATTTTCAAGACTACATTAATTTGTTTCATTTCCTGTTAACTATAGAGATAATCTATTGAGCATTTAAACCAAGTTCAGATTGAACGGGTTTAAGAAAATATTGAGCTTAAATTAGAATTATTATCATCAGAAATTTGTAAATTCCAAGGAATGTTGTTTTAGTGCATATTTACATAAGAGCTAGCTATATATTTCAGTAATAAGGAAACAATTAAAAAATTACCAAAGGATTCAAATATCGTCTACTATTTTGTATGGTGGTGACTAGTAGGAGAATCCAGAATTCCCACTTCGTCCTAATCAGAACTCGTTAGCTGCAAGTATCTGGAATCCCAGTAACTGGTAGTGTTCCCACGCAGACTCAAGCCCCGCATCCATCACATAAAGTGTCAAAACATTGTCCACTATGCCAAAAGAACTACCTTTTGTGCATTTCAGACGATGGGTTCAAGGTTCGAGTCTCAATGGAGACATCATCACTCACTGGGAATGCAGATATCTGTGGATGATGAATGCCAAGTAGGACTATTCCAGTGGCAGTCGCCATCAATTGAAATAACATTATGTCATCTTTTACGTCCCTGGCATAAAATATTTTCGACTATTTTAGTCTAGATAGATGAGTAATATGATTAGCTTACAGCCAAAATCACAATGCCACTAGTGATAGTTCCGATTATTTCCTTTCATAATTTGGCCAAATTTACATGAATTTATGCTATAGTTAACTGTGGTAAAACTGACTACATTTCACTGACGGTGTAGAGGTTCAAGCAATAAGCTATAATAGCAGGCTTAATATTCAATGGCTGATAGTACACTGTGTGCTGTATGTAACTGAACGCTTGCAATTTTTCGACAATATATCTGTTTCAGAAAAAATTCGGATCCTTATTTGATAATGTCTTCCATATATACTATTATTATTTATTATTGTTCCTTTGGGTTCCTAGTGGAACATAGGGCTTCAAATGCACGTCTCCACTTGTTTCTGTCTTCTGCTGTACTTTTCACTTGCATCCATGTTAGTGCATACTGTTTCAACTCTTCTTACACGATCTCCTCCATGTCACCCTTGGACGTCCCACTCACCGCTTCCCTTTCGGGTTCCACTCGAGCACTGGCCTGACGCGCGATGTCACCCAGAGGCCTCCTCAGCTCAGCGAGTGTCCAATCCATCTCCACTTTCTCCTGCATATTTGTTGTTTGGTGATTGGTTCTTGTTTCGTTTGTCTGTTCCTATAGTTTCTTGTTGGTGATTCTTTCCGGCCATCTGCTCTTGAGTATAGAACGAAGACAGCTGTTGATAAAGGTCTTCAACCTGTTGGAAATATTCTTGGTGACCCGCCAACAGGTTGCAGACCTTTATCAACAGCTGTCTTCGTTCTATACTCAAGATCAGATGGCCGGAAAGAATCACCAACAAGAATCTATTCCATATATATATATGTATATATATATATATATATATATATATATATATATATATAGTGCCAACATATTTGCCATAGAACAGCCTATTGTTGTCTTCATACTGTTTTTCTTTCTCAGTTAATAGTAACTGACTAACTGGCCGACTGACAAATTGGTATAGAACTTTGTTTTCAGACTGTATCAGTTTAAACCGTCATACATACTTCATAGTAGTACCCTTACAAAAGAAACATTAATGTTACTGATACTATAAGGAATAAACATGAATGGCAAAAATAACAACAATTAACTGAAAATAGATAAAAATGTTTGATCGCTAACTGACTTCATTTAGAGAACCATTGAAAGTCTAGAGGATACTGGACAACTGTTTCGTCCTAGTTGAAAATTAATCCAGTGCACACTAGTGACTGACTATGGGATGAAGTTGCCTGAATATCCGGTGGGAAGTCATAACCGTAGGGGGACACCAAGTTGGGTGTGAAGACAATTACTCGCCGATGACAATGGCTGGCGGTCGTCCTATATATTGTCCCAGTGACTGAATGGTCAATAGTCTCACCTTGTAACCTGAAGAGAGTCATGAGTGCACACGGATGAAGAGCCCCGGATAACGACGAAACAGCTGTTCAGTACTCCTCGCTCATTATTGATTCGTGATCAAACTTTAAATCAGTCAAATCCCTACAAACCAATGCTTGAAGATAAATATTTTTTTTGATTATAGCTTGATTCCACACCGTATTTTTGGTACAAGTATGGAATTTTCAGCATATGATATCGGTAGCCCAAAGTTTTCAGGCCGGCCAATTGATATCAAGTGTGCGTTGACAGGGGATCGAACCCCAGACCATGTGCATGGTCGGCGAGAGTCCTAACCGCTGTGCCACCGACGCAAAATTTGAGAGAAAGAAAATCATTTTAATAAATCTGTGGTATCTTGAACGATAATTCAGTCATATCACAATGGGGTTGCAACAGCTGACGACTCCAGTCAGACAACTTATGCCTATCTGTATATTGCAGAGCAATAGGCGCAAACTTAATGAACTGGTGCCATATTTGTTTCCGATGGACTTGGTCAATGAATCCAATGAATCATTAGTCTAAGAGTAACATAATTTGGACACAGAGTTAAAATATAATTCTACCTTAGATAAATTCGTTTGACATTACATTGATACATTTCAAGCAGAATTTATTACTCATAATCATAATCACATGACATTTGTTAACTACCTGTTTTATAATTAACCATTATAGTCTTATAAAGTAATAACTTCTATTCACAGCCATACAATATATTGATTCAAAAGCTAATAATTTATTGCGTCAATTTTAAGTATGTTTTGTTTTCCATTAACATTTGCATAACTTTATTACAATTCACTTTATTCTTTTATTCAGGTCAATGTTGTCCTTATAATTGGTAAGGCTGATAGCCTAACATCAGATGAATGTGCTCAGTTCAAACAAACAATACTCCGTGAACTTGAAAGTCATAATATAAAATTATACGATTTTCCTGAGTCTGTTATCAAATCAGATGATGTGAATGATTCACGGTTAATCAACGAGATTCATCAAGCTCGAGCACGTCAACCATTTGCAGTAGTTACCAGTAACCGTCTTGTTTCTTTGCCAGATGGAAGAAAGGTAATATACATACATTTATGCATATATATATATGTATACTTAAGATTTCTTGGAGGGGAGGTCTTACATTTGCAGTTTCAAGTGATCACTATCTTAAGATATTTGGGCTTGATCTCATCTCTCTTTGACTCTGGTTGTGAACTTCAACAGAGAATTTTACATAACAACAGTTGACATATGCCTTGAACCACTTGATTATTTTATCAAAGTCGCCTTGAAATCACGTTATTTTCTTCGTTTTTTCTTTGATAGCTAATGCTGAAGAGATTAATTCAGTCGGAATGAAGACTGTCAGTGATGATGATATGGCTTAGAATTGTTCCCAATAATGCAAATGTAGTCAATTCTTAGGATCTTTTGAACTTTGGAAAGTTATTCGTTCGCCTGTACATCATTCTTGTTTCCAGTTACTTTGTGTCAGAAGATTTATTTAAAATCTAAGGTAGAAACCCGGAGAAAGAAAACGGATTCAACAAAGAAATATATTCCTTTTCAATTAGTTCCTCATCATCTGCTGGCTGTGCACTAATATATAGTTTTTATATCGAAGTTTTTTATTACCAATCAAGTAGTTATTTTAATTAATCAGTTTTAAGTGTAGGGTGGGGTGGGATGAAACTGAGAGGTTGAAAGTCATCAAAACGATTAACTGATAGATGTTAGTGACAATATATCTAAGTTTTGAAAGAGTAATGAAAATTTGCAATTAATAGTGTTCTCTGAGCTGGTTGGTTTAGCTGCGGAGCTTTCGTCGTCCTTCTGGGTAACATCTTCAGCGCCATATTTAGCATAAAGTGAAATGATTTAAATTTCTTCATGAGTGATATAATTGCGTCTCCTGGTAACCATCTTTACATATGTATTGACCATTTCCTATGGACTTGGATTTTAAACTTTCTAGTCACCTGATTTACTTTTTATTAGTTGGTATATTTCGTCTATATTAACGTGTTTGTTAATTGCATTTTCGTTTGAGTACCAGGCTTCTAGGAATTCCCTGACTGCACTTTTGGTGTTTCCTCTGTTTAAGATTTTGACATTATCCCAATCAAATTGATGACCATAATTGTCTATATGCATTGATACTAGAGAATACATATCGTGTCTTTTCACGGCTGATTTGTGTTCTTGGATTCTGATTCGAAGGGGACGCCCAGTTTGGCCGATGTAATGCTTGTTACAGTTCATACAATTTATTTTGTAAATGGTATTAATTTTGTCCCCTTTTTCTGTTGGATCTTTTGGTTTGCATAATATCGAGTTAAGCGATTTTACCGGCTTGTGTGCTATATCTATATCAAACGGTTTCAGTATTCTAGCTGTTATTTCAGAGATATTTCTCATGTATAGTAGGGTGAATTTTCTTGTGGTCTTTGATGATAGTTTCTTGTTGGTGTTTTGATTGGACTTTAAACACTTTTTGATGAAAATTAATTAGGGAATTAAAGATGAGTTAATTCATGGGCGTTAGCAACAAGTTACTACATAATCAGGAAATTTGTAAAGTAATAATGACTAATAAGAATAGAATGACTCAGAAAAATTACGTGAAATACCAACAAGTTAATAGAATTAGCTAGAATAGTAAAAAAAATAACAAAGTCAAAAGATGAGATAGTTACAAGGGGAGGGGAAAAATCGTTTTTAAAAACTTAATACATATTATGTAGTTGGCCATGGCAAAGAAATGCAATATACAAATTTCTTTTGGACACACATATTTGGCTTGTTCGGGTGAATTCCGATTGCCTCTACTGTACGTAAAAGTCGTACCCGTAGATCATGCGAGAGGTTGGGTGTTATACGATAAATAACTTTAAAAGCTTTGTCCAGTATCGGCGAGATCAGCTAGTATTGAGCTGCGTATAGCTTTGCTCGAACCTTTGCCAAACTGGGATGGGAGGTGTTCAGAAATCCGACGATGAACTTGCCTGATCGTACGCCCAATGTAATCAGCTCCACAAGAGCAGTTAAACTGGTAAATACACATGGAAGAGGCGAAACAGGGCAGTTTGTCTTTATTTCTTGAACTAAGTATTGGTTGGCTAGTGAGTATACAACATAGCTTAGCTGAGTTGAAATTCCTTTTGAAGTCCCTTCTCAGATGTAGTGATAATATCTCACTATTGACGTCACCCGCGAGTTGTAATCTTGATTATGTAATGACTTATTGCTAACACCCATGAATTAACTCGTCTTTAATTCCCTAATTAATTTTCATCTCTCCTTGAAAACTTAGATATATTGTCACTAACATCTATCACTTAATCGTTTTGATGACTTTCAATCTCTCAATTTCACCCCCCTCTCACCCTACACCTAAAACTGATTAATTAAAACAACCACTTGATTAGTAAAATGATGATGTAAAAAACTATATATTAGTGTAGAGCCAGCAGATGATGAGGAACTAATTGAAAAGGAATATATTTCTTTGCTTAATCTGTTGTTTTTTCTGAATGCGTATCTGGGAATTCGGAATATACAGAGGCCTGGAGATCATAAGTCTATAATTCTTTAATAATCCTTATCAATAAATCCCTTAATTCATAGTGTATATGTTAGAGATCATGGAGATTCTTTTTATATTATGCGTATTGTAGCGATTTCGTTTAGTTTCCATGTGGATTTCGTCACAAACCGACATCAGTTAGGGAATTATTGAAAAAAGAAGAATCAAAGACCACGTGACAGGTATTTCAGTTTGATTGGAGTCTTTTCAGCGCTGAGTTCAAACTCCTGATCGGGTAATATGTTCACACTGTTGAAGAATCTTAAATCAGGACGAAATCAGTGCCTAGCACTCTTCGGTTTCTTTTCAATGGTTTTCTATTTGCAAAAAAGAAATAAGATGTAGAAAGATCTTCTGGGATTCAGGTTAAAAATGTCTCCACAAAACAGTGTTTACAAACTTTAAACATTAGTGGAATTTATTGATAAAGAATCATATTACCATATGTAATGACGCAATTATCTACCCTACTGGTGGTCTGTTTCACATAACTTTTATGTGTGTTGTGTTTTTTTGTCACATACCGAATGCTTATGACTTCACTTCTAAGCATATACAAAATAGAATTCTTTTACAATACGCCCCCCAGACTGAATCAATTTTATAAAATGCTATAGATTCAATTTTCTGTCCAACAAGCTGGAGGGGAAATATATTTTTACATGATAAATGTCCAGCTTATCCATTGAAGTAACAATTTTAGACTATTTTCGAAAGTAACTAAATTATTTTTATTGAAACTACTTAACAGATGTATAACTTTGTTCTGATAAATGAGTTATTGGTTTCAATTGCAAATAAAATCTTGTTTGAATTTTAATATGAATCGGTTGACACCAATGGATGAGATATATTCACGACCAAACAATGTTTAAAGGGGTTTTTTGCATCTAGTTTACTGCTTATTTTCTATCATTTTGCACTAGAGGTGGCTTAGTGGGTAACGAACGCTCTTGTGGTTGAATCACCTACCACTCACTGAGATGCAGACACAACCAGTTGAAGGGTCTTAAATAAGACGTAACGCGCGTCCTGGATACCATTGTTAACCAGGTTCAGCGCTGAACCAGAAAGGAAGTAGTTTTGTTTTAGAAGTGATTAAAATGAATTTAAAACGAGAACTTTGATTGCGATAAGATTCAAACCAATGACTGACTAAGTCTGTATGTCTATCTATTTTCGATATAGAACTTTGCACATATGTGTGGCAGCTCAAGTCTCCACACACACACACACAAAGCAAGAGAAGAAAGTAAGAGAAATGTATATTAGAGACAGTAAACACTGGTGTGGGACAAAGGAATAGTAATAACGAAGAACAAAACAGTTTCACTGGAAATCATAAGTCACAAGGAGTGGATGCACCTGCGCCATTGAGAACGATTTTGAGCCATGTCACCAATTGTTTCCAACCATTGGTTTTAACAGTCCCGAGGACCCCAACCAGGAAGTCTGCACCTTCCTACGTGGCTTAAACTAACTGTTGTAGATTTCATTGACTGGTGCCATGTTTTTGTGTGACCACCGCTAGCTCTTTTCCAGCCTTACCCTATATCAGCTAACATTGCCCATTGTCGAGGAAGGCGATGACTAGGCATACGTAACACATGTCCTAAACATCTCAGTCGATGTAACCTCACAACCTCGTCGACTTCGTCGTCGACTGATTAGGAGTTTTACCGAATAAGTTACAGGGTACATTTTTTGATGATTTCTTAATTTTACATCAGTCACTGAAGGTTTCATGTGCAATATGATATGCATAATTGTCTCTACTCTACCATTACACTATCTGTCAAGCTATATTGTTTCATGCCATTTCTAATTGTAGACAAAGATATGAAACGATTAACTTATGTAGAGATTATCTCAAATAACCTTATGTTGACATACTGCTTTGATCCATTTAGCTAAAATGGTGACATAAAGACTTTACTCCAAAAGTATCAATCACCTGAAAAGTTCAAGGCTTCCCACTGATCATCTCCAACTGTGAGATATCAAGTTAGCTTCTTATTTCAGCATTAATCATTTGTTGTATAACATGAACTCTGTTTGTTAAAGCAAGGCTATGTGTCTAAGATAGCCTCAGGAAAAAAAATAAATTTCTTTCTTGTAGATCTCAAACACTATCTTTTATAGTATCACACAAATAGTACTCCTTTTTTTCCTACTACTTTTCTATAAAAAAGTACTGGTATAACAAAGTTGAATAGTTATCAAAACGAATATTTGACTAAACTTTAACATTTATTTATTTATTTATTTTGTTTCAAGGTATACGGTCGTGCATATCCATGGGGTATTGTTGAATGTGAAAATCTTGTACACAATGATTTCAGTGCTTTAAAAAATTTACTGATGAGTGTTCATATGCAGGTAGGTTGTTTCATTGTTGTTGTTGTGTTTGTTTGTTTTTAAATATAATATTTTATGATTTATTGTTCTCATTTCTTTTTTACAAACATTACACTTCAATGAAATGCTTTACTTATATTTATATTGGTGAGTAAAGGGAATGATTTAACTTTATTCACAGGAATTTGTCTCCTAATATATTAACATCTATCTAAATCAAGATTAGTTAAACAAGCATTAAAAATACGGAAGTACTTATGTGGCGTGATTCAGATTGATGGGAAACGATCATTGAACAACTTGTCTAACCTTTGGCTAATCGCCAACCAATCAGAACAGTTTATTATTCACCTCTGATCTAGCAGAAGTTCAGTATGGCTAAGGATAAATAAATATGATGTGTTTTTCCTTAATAAAGGTCTCTTCCCGATTCTCTTATCTTCTGTCATTGTCATAGTGATCTGTTAACAAAATAATCTCTCAATTTCGCTAGGAATTGAGCTCAGGATCTTCTAAACTTGTAGTGAACAAGTTAATATTCAGCTACGGGGTTACTTTGCAGTGATATATATTATTTAATTTCTGACTGACTGTCTGGTTTCAACATAGAACTTTGCTCAGATATGCAGCGGTTCGAGTTGCCACACTCCCTTCTTGTAGCACACAAAGCAAGAGAAGAGAGTAAAGAGAGGTTCAGATAATAAACAGAAATGTGAGGGAAAAAGAATAGTAATATGGAAGAATAATAGAGTTTTATTGGATATGATTCTCTGGGAGCAAACCAACCAGGAAACGATTGTGAAACAAGTAGGCAGGAAGAAATGGAGATGGATTGGCTGGCCATACTCTGAGGAAACCACCAAGTGACATCACTAGACAAGCCATTGCTCGAGTGGAACCCGAAAGGGAAGCGGCGAGTTGGTCGTCAGTGCGAAGGTAGGTGACTTGGAGGAGGTTATTTGAAGAGGAGATGAAAACGTGTGGGCAGACTTGGAGCCAGGTGAAGACTCTAGCAGAGAACCGAACGCAATGGAGAAGCAACGGCTGAAGCCCTATGTTCCTCTAGGAATTAAAAGAAATAATAATAATTGGATATGATAAATCACAAAGATTGAATGCATCTACACCAGCCATTGAGAACGATTTTGAGCCTTATCACTAATTGTCTTCAGCCACATATTTAATTTCAGCAATAAAGATATACCCTTTCCCCTATGTCATCTATAGATAATATCTCCTATACTGAATAAGCAGACCCCTTTGTTCAGAAAAGCTTTCTTTTTATTAGAACTTGCTCACTTTTCAAATTGTCCTTCTCTTATCCGTCATTGGTTCATGACTTAAAGTTCAACTTTAAATTAATCATATCCTCACAAACCTAACAAGTGAATAAACGGTTCGATTGAATAGAGTTCTACGAAAACTTATGATAATAATTTTCAATGAAGTTATTCAAACTCGTATTATAGTTAAATGACTCAAGGTAATTTAGACTATATTTCTCATGATGATGTGGCTCATAATCTTAATCACTACACACCTAGCCTTTGGATTTTAGATTTGAATTCCACTTCAATTACTTCATTCTGAATATCTGATTAGCATCATCATCAACTCTCACTTAATATATGGGGTTACCATTTTTGTACATAAAAAGTTCATTCCATGCAGCAGAGTTCTAACCTTAAAAGACGATATATATAAATATATATATATTCGCCGACTACGCATGTGGTTCGGGGTTTCATCCTCTGCCGACGCGCTCCTTTACCTCGTTAGGCCAGTAATAAGACTGGTAAACAGGGAACATTTGGCATGAGGCTAGCAACCCCATCTCGCAAAAATAAACACCACTGCTTCCGAAACTTCAAGCCTCTAGCTTTGTGCCCGATGTTCCACTTGGAATGTAAAGGGATAAAAACAAACACATCCAAAAGGTCCACTTATATATATATGCCTCATGCCCAATGTTCCCTGTTTACCAGTCTTATTACTGGCTTAACGAGGTAAAGGGGCGCGTCAGCAGAGGATCGAACCCCGAACCACATGCGTGGTCGGCGAATATTCTACAGCTGCGCCACCGACTCACATGGATTTGTGTTGTCAGGATTTAATTTATTGATACCCTTGTGTAAATGGTAACCACTGTTCTCTTTCAGTTGTTAGGTTTCTTCACGAACCAACAGTTGAAATTGCTCCGAATCTCACTACTCTCTGTTGTTTGAATAACCTACAATTCATGAAAATACAAATACCATTATCTTAGTCGTAGCATGATTTGCAACGATAGTTTCTAGTTTATTAACTGTCTGTTGACAAGATTTCGGAATCCAGGTATTTTCTAGTTTTCAAGTGTTGGTGTGTAAGGATCCGATCAGTTTCAAGCTAAATCAGGGTGTTCATATGACTGTTAGAGAACCGTTGAAAATTAGGATTACTGGACAGATGTTTTGTCCCATGACCTCACCAATGGTCGACCCTTTAGGTTACTAGGCGAGTTGAATAACCATTCAATCACCGGGACGAAATCTAATTGCATATGAAATTTAAGTTCTACTGATTTACGACAATGGAATGCCCACCGCTAATTCAGTCATCAATTTGTGAGTAAGGTGGAGAAAAATTCATTGCAACATGAAATGCATGCTTAAGTGCCCAGTAAAAAGTTTTCATCCAAATTCAGTTCCAGTTTAATTAGAAGAGGATTGATGAGCTGAGTGATTATTTCTGGATTAGACATACTATATAGAAACAATTTACATTTGGACTGATTAACCTAGTCTAATTGACTCAGTTTGATCATAAAAATCTTCACAAAAGTGCAGCAGTCCTGTAACAACAGAAGGCAAGACACGGAAGTATATTTTTCGTTAATCAAACCGCTGTTTATGTATCTGCAGTTTATATTCGTTAACCAATCACTGAGCTTGTGATTTCGGCTTACATCCAGCGACAAGAAATAGAATATTCAAATATACATAGTATTGTGGTGTCAATGCAGTACTGAACTGTGGGAATAACATTCCCACTATAATATCAAACAGAATGTTCAAACAGATATATCGTATTCTGTTGTTAATGCTGTATTGAACTGTGGGAACATGGGAGAATAACATTCCGTTGGCACACATTGTCTGTATCACACCACCACAGTTCAGGTTGCTATAATCCATATAGCACACAATGGTAGACAAAAGAGAGAAGAGAAATTCAAGAGAACTATAATCATCGGAAATATGCGGCAGAAAGCACAGTGATATGGAAAAACATAAGGGTTTAGTAGATATGAAAGATTACAAAGATTGTGATTGCATCTGCATCATCGAAAACTATCTTGAGCGATATCGCCGATAGTCTCATGCCATTGGTGCTTAGCATCCCGAGGACCCAAATCAGGTAGTCTGCACCTCCCTACGTGGCTCAAAACAGCTGTCGAAGTCTTCATGGATTGATGCCATGTTGTGGTGCTATCACCACCAACTCTTTTCTAACCCAGTCGTATGTCAGTCAACATTGCCTGTCGATAAAGGTGATTGTTTGGAACGCACAGCACGTGTCTAAACGACCACAATCAATGTAGCTTCACAACTTCATCGATTGACTTAAGTAGTTGCTTAATTGTATGTGTATGTAGAGGGGTGTTTTTTGGAGGAAAGCATATTACACCATAGTCAGTAATACTTCAAATTCTGTATACAAAGAGAAAAGTGCTAACAAAACAAATTGCATAAATTTCTTACAAATGAATGACTCATGAAGTTTTTGTAAGAGTCATCACATTTATTTCAATATAATTTATATGCCCTTTTGACCTTTATTAATGTATGCATGATATGTATTTATTATAGTTCCTTGGGTCACAGCAACTGCGTACACTAAATATATTTGAATTAGGTAATGAGTTGGTGAATAGACACTTATGGCATTGAAAAGGTATAGATTAGCAAGTAATATTGTTTTCGTAATCTCCCATCAATACTGTACAGTTAAACAGGGTTTCAAAAGGTCAAATATTAATGTCAGTTGGTAACAAAACCTATGAAATTATGTATCAGGCAGTAAAAATGGATAAAAGGCTTAGACCTATGTTTATGTGTTCGAAAATTATTTGTTACTGCCTTGGACATGCCTTGGTAGTCCAATTTTCTTACCTCTTATCAGTTCTTGTGACCCGTAAACATTTTTGACTTATATTGATAAAGAAAAATTTGATCCTTTAGGCTCTCTGTTGCTTTTTATATAAATCTGTATGTCAAGTAAGTGTGTGATTCAAATGTCTGAAATGTGTTACACAAATAAAATACACATTTAGGATAAATTACGTCTCTTTATTGTTTTGTCAAAATTAATTACTTTAAAAAATTTTCAACAGTTGGTTTGTAAGGATCAGATTTGTTTTTACGAGTTGATCACGGATTGATATCAGTTAGAGAACCATTGAAAACCACCAGGGAGTACTGGACAGCTGCTGTTTCATCCTAGTTTGGAATCATCGGCAGTACTCACCCACCGGGGTTCGAGCCCAGGACATTCCCGTTACAAAGCAAGCTCGTACACCATTCAGTCACTGAAACTCGATTCAATGGACCATAAATTCTAACTTCTACCCATTTGAACCCCGGTGGGTGCGTACTGCCGATGATTCCCAAAGTAGGATGAAACAGCTGTCCAGTATTCCCTGGTTTTCAATGCTTCTCTAACTTTAAAAGATGGCCGAATTGCGAAACTTGCTTAAGTAATCTTATGTAATTTAAGTGGTGAATATCACTAAAAAATGATAACCATTAAAGCTTTAATCGCTTGTAAATAGGAATCTTGTTCATTAGAGTAAGGGATTAAGAATACAGTAAAAAGTATATTTTGAAATTAGCAGTTTGAAAAAAGTGGGAAAAGTTGGATAAGGGTGGATCATATACAATTTTATTTTTTACGTGAGAAAAGGGTCTAAGGCCATTATAGTAAAGAACAGATTGATAAAACCACTTTCGTGTACACAGTTCAGAGTTTTCAAATGTATAAAGCAAGGGAGTTTAGCTACGGACAGAATATGTAGCCGGAAACCTTTTGAACGACTTGGCTTCAACTTATATAACGTTTTTAAAAATTTCTCTATTGCTGTAGCATGATGTATAAGAACCAAGTGCTCAAGAATTGAGCTAATGGTTCGTCTAATTTCTTCTTCTGGCAACAACTAGTGAGTGATTTTCTTGCACATGTCTAGACAGTATCGTGATGCCATGGCCTGTGAACTCAGCTCCACAGGAGCAAATGAAGTGATACTTATGTAATGGTGTATGTTTTTTTTTCCTTCACGTTCCCCAGTGGAACATTGGGCTTCAAGCTAGTAGCTTGAAGTTTCTGTAGCAGTGTTTATTTTACAGGATGGGGTTGCTAGCCTCACGCCCAACCTTTCCTCTTCACCAGCACTATTTCTGGCTTAACAATGTAAAGAAGTGCATGGTCGGCGAGCGTCCTAACCGCTTTGCCACCGACGTGTATGTAGTGATACAATATTTCATTTGTTTTAATACCAACTGATATTAACAACTAACCTTTATTAAGATTCCTGTGACCTTTTAGAATACTTTAAGTGTACAGCTTTGGTGAGATGTAAGGAAAAGGGTATTTTTGACTGGCCTGTGTCATTTTAACTTATTGTATTATACAACTTCTCAGGTTGGAATAAATGAAGTTGGTCTTGAACTCACAATCCGTCAATTAGAAAAATTGGCTGTTTAGACCGTTGTTCAAACCTTCATGATATTAAATCAAACAAATATCTTTTTTTAATATATATTGTTCTGTAAAGTCTGCGAGTACATTTATTCATCACTACTGATACTTTGTAGGGAAATCTTTGATAATATTTTTTTTTATCACTGAAGTGGATATTTTCGTTCTACATCATCTCAGTATACAGGATTGTTGTCCAGATTACGTTTCTCCACACACTATGATGCTATTATTATATTATTATTGTTCCCTTGGGTTCCTAGTGGAACATAGGGCTTCAACTGCACGCCTCCACTTCCTTCTCTCTTCTGATGTACTTTTCACCTGCATCCATCTTATTCCATACTGTTTCAACTCTTCTCCACATGATCTCCTCCATGTCACCCTTGGACGTCCCACTCGCCACTTCCCTTTCGGGTTCCACTCGAGCTATGGCCTGACGCGCGATGTCACCCAACGGCCTCCTCAGCGAGTGTCCAATCCATCCCCACTTTCTCCTGCATATTTGTTGGGTTATTGGTTCTTGTTTTGTTTGTTCCCATAGTTTCCTGTTGGTTTTTGTTCTTTCCGGCCATCTGATCTTGAGTATAGAACGAAGACAGCTGTTGATAAAGGTCTGCAACAGGCTGTTGGAAATATTCTTTGTGACCCGCCAAGTTTCTGATCCATCCGTATAGAAGAACTGACTGACTTGACGTTTGTATTGAAAATCCGAATTTTGTGAGAACTAGTGATACAACCAAGTTATGTAAGCTCTGAAGTAAGCTGGGAGGGATTTGGATCTGGGACTTGTATGCTGAAACTTGAGTGCCTAAGCTAATAATTTGCTTCCCTGATGAATGGATTTGAAAGTAGTGAAGATGGAATTCTGAAATGCTTCGTTCTGGGTTGAATTCTTTGTCCATCGTCAACTTTAACCTCAGTAGTCTGTAGGTATTATTAACCCTCAATAAGTCAAGTAGGACTGCTATTCGAATGCACAAAAAGTTCGCTCCTTATAAGTGACTTGAACTAAGCTTTTTAAAAAATGATATTTATCATTACTAAAGAGTGAAGTGGAGATTTAATTTGTTGGTTGGTGACTAACAGTAGAATGCAGGATACGCATTTCGTCCTATTTGGGACTCATCATCTGTAGATGGCTGCATTCCCAGTGAGTGATGGTGTTTCCACTGAGATTTGTTAACTTTATTACGTTTATTATTTTATATTATGGTTACTAACACATTTATATGTATACTTTTCTGTTGTTTTATTCTCCTTTATTGAAATATATGTTTATTTCTATAGGATTTAATCAATGTGACGCATCAAACACATTACACAAATTATTTTGCCTCACGTTTAACTAGTATAGCTGAAGCTGGTAAATTTTTAGCCAATGAAGATAGTCGTGAACCACTTAGTCAACTAGAAACTGAACGTTTGGCACATCAACGTAAATTAGCTAAACTTGAATCAGAAATGGAAAATGTCTTTGAACAAAAGGTAAGATATTCATTATTTGTTTGTTTTGATTTTATTGAAGATAAATAGTAATCTGCCATCTTTAAATAATACTGATTCTCATTGGGATTTTGTTTTTCGATAAAAGGGATCAAATAAATAGTGAAGTATGAATGTGTTAGATAGCATCTAGTATTACCTTTATGTAAACTACTCTAGACTATAAGTAGCAATTTACTTCCCCCTACTTTATGGCTGTAAGACATGATTGTTGAAAGTGGTAGGTGTGGAAAGATTTCGACTGGAAGTGTTTTTCATTAATTTGACCGTGAAACAGTACAATCAGCAATATATATATATAATATTTTACGCTAGGCGTAGAGTGTTAGGTGAGGAGAGAAATTCGGTCGATGAATTCGTGCAAGTTCACAGATTAGTGTGTCTGGGACATGTGCTACTAATGTGGAGCTAGCCCTTTTCCTTGAATATCAATATTCTCTGATATAGGACTAGCCTGAGAAATCAGATGGAGATATGGCGCCTAACCACGAAGTCTCTGACATTGGTTTGAACCATTTAGTTAAGTGTAAACTGCCTGCGAGAGGATCTGGACTCCGCGGATGATTCCAGTCTAATAGCACACAAACTGAAAAATATAAAGGTGAAAACCAACAAGTTGGCAAAAAAGGCAGAAAAGGCAGGACTTCGAGTAAGCATAGAGAAGGCTCAGGTGATGAAGATAACCAACCAACAGCAACAACAACAACAACCAGTAATTACCATCAGTGGGACAGATTTCACTAATTCCAGCAGTGTCGTATTAACTATAGGCGACGGCATGGATGAGGATGCCTAAGGCAGGATCGGAAAAGCAAGGCAGATCTTCGTCACTCTGAAATCAGTGTAGAAATCTGTTGCTCTCAGAATAAAGAACAAGATTCGGATTTTTAACGCCGATGTCAAATGAGTGCTTTCATATGATTCATAGACTTGGTATATAAGTCACGGAAAGCATTTTCAACAACATGCTGCAAACTTTCATCAACATCTACCTTTGGGCTGTACTACAGATTAGGTAGTCAGAATAGATGTACATGTAACAAGGAACTCGGGGAACAGATAAACCAAGAATCTTGTACCCAAAATATATGTCGAAGAAAATAAGAAGGATTGTGCATATGCTGAAAAGATCGTTGAGTGACATTACGCCTCAAGTCCTAGAGGGGAACCCAAGGGGTAGACGACGAATTGAGTGAGATTCCGAGAGTGACATGAGGATCGTGCGAGGAGGAGATGAAAGCTTATGGGCACTGATCAGTTAAAAAGGATTATAGGGAACAGAATGAAATTGATACGTGCTATTAGAGCCTTAAATTCCAATCTCAAACCAAGGGAATAATAATAACGAAGCTACGTTTTCTTGACTTCATCGTATAGAATGCATGACATTAAGGTTATCATTCAGTGTAGTGTAAACCACTAAAATAGATGAAAATTGAGTGAAAAAAACCTATTGTATAAGTGGTAGCAACACTACTTTACTGTTTAAACTCTCAACAAATAAAGTTAGTCTTGAACCTATGACGCACTGATTTAATGCCAAATGCCTAGCCCAACTAAATAAAGCTCTCTTATGGGTAAAATTTATTTTGATAAAGTCTCACAGTGTTCTACAGTAATATTTACTAATGACGTTTCGAGCACAATTTATTGCTCATAATCAAATCAGGGTACTCGCACAACTTTCTAGCTTCGTTTATATAATTCAATTATTTTTCATCGCTCGACTTGATTGGTAGTAGCATTTTCCATATTTCCGGTATGAGTGATGATTCATTCCTATTGCACGTGTTGAGTGTAGACTCAATGAACAAGGATTCAGTAACCAACCTCTCTCTCCACCTACCTATATTACTTCTTAGAATCTTAACCCTCTCCCAGTCTATTGTGTGGTTAAGCGTTGTTAATGCATGCAGTGCAATCGCTGAGCTTTTTTCCAAATTATTTATCTTCTCGGGGTTAACCATTCTTACCTTAGCTAAATTCTTATATTCCGACAATCTGACTACCCCCGATCTACTAGTTTCACCTATGTAGTTGACCTAACTCACAGTCATTGCAAGGTATTTTGTAAATTATATTATTTTGTTTAATTGAGTCAACCGACAGGGTCTTTTAACCCACAGAGCTTGCCCCTGAGTGAGTTTGTAGGGTTTAGATATCACCCTAATTCCTGCTTTGCTGAGAAACCTATGTAGGGCCTCAGATGTCCCCTCCTTATATGGTAGAACTGTAGATGCCTTACATTCTCTCTTATTTATGTTATCATTATTCGTTTGCCCGTTATTTTTATTTTGCTTTCGGCCTTTTCTGATCTTCCTAATGAATTTTAGAGGATAGTGATTTGACACCAACCAGCTATTCTTCTGTCTCATTTCACCTTTTAGGTCTTTTCTTGTACTTCTTAGTGCTACAGCTCTTCAGAGATAGAAATTAATTTCTAATGTTTTTAATCACTGACAGGTTTTAACTGATGAGTATATTGTAACTGAAGAATTAAAAACAAAACTAATGCATAATTGTATTCTCTTATAGGTTCAAGAACGTACAAATAAATTAATTGAAACAGAACGTGATCTTATGGAACGTGCTGAACAATCAGAGAAGCATATGTTAATGCAATTAGCTGAATTTGAAAAACGTCGACAAGAATTTGAAGATGAACGTGCTATATGGGAAGCTGAAAATCGTGAATATTTAGAGGTAAGTTATTTTAAATGACCACTTGTCACAATGTCTTTTTGTACATATTATCTAGGGATATATATATATATATATATATATTGACAAATTGATAGGCATCGACAGACAAGCTAACTTAGAATCATGTAGCAAAGTACATCAGTTCAGGTTGTCACATCTACAGAAAGTACATATGATTTAAGACGACAAATGTTTTAAATTTTAAAAAAATACATATTTGGCTCATTGAGGATGATTTGCAGTCGAACTGTCAAAGCCTTCAAATTGAATTAACCTATTTTTAAATAAGGTAACAATGACAAAACCTTCTTATTGGTCTGAAATTTACTTTTTTTCTTTCTTACTTGAAATTATTGAATATTAAAAGCTTTAAGCTGTCTAGTAAGAACTTGAAACTGCTACCTAATGTATTTGAAAGTCGCTTAATGGAAATAAACTAACAAACAGACCATAAATTATTCTAGAAATGTTGTAACAACATTCTCTTCCCTTCTTTGCACTCCAAATGGAACACAAAACTTCAAGCTTTTGAAGTTTCATTAGAGGTAATGTTGCTTCACAGGTCGAGGTTGACATCTTCACGTCTGACCTTCCTTCTTTCTGGAGATTACTACCAACTAGTTTCGCTAGGCAAGATTTAGAAGGGCGTTGGCCTGGAGATGAACTTGGATCTCTCACCATTAAGCTATTGACGCGTGAAGTAACTAATAATATATAAAATAAAATAAAACATGAATAACATGTAAGCTTCACATTTTCCTGAAAACTTGAAACTGGTTATAAAATACTTTACTTTATTTCATAGATTTCAGGAAATGTGAAACCAAAAGTGTAGCCTACTAGACAATAGAATAAATAGGTTTTGATAAATGAGTCGCGTTGTGATCCGAAAGAGCAGCTGTTTGAATTATCTCATTGGGGTGCCGTATCGAATGAACTACGAAACTTCACACAAACAATATCCCCACAAACTAAGATAACTATGTCAAATAATATTCTTCTTTCTTTCTTTTTTTACTTTATTCCTTCACGTTCCCAGTGGAACATAGGGCTTCAAGCTAGAGGCTTGAAGTTTCTTTAGCAGTGTTTATTTTTACAGGATGAGGTTGATAGCCTCATGCCCAACCTTTCCCCTTTACCAGCTTTATTTCTGGTTTACCGAGGTAAAGGAGTGCGTTGGCCGGGGATTAAACTCCAAACCATGTGCATGGTCGGCGAGCGTCCTAACCGCTATGCCACCGCATAGCATAATTTACATTTGATAATTATTATGGTGATGAACAGTCACTTGTCAGTAGTTAACATGATAGGTAAAAAGATGAGTTTCGATTAGTTTTCCTGACTCATGTGATAGGTTGAGCACCGGAACCAGTAGTCCGCAGTTTATTAGTTTAAATTACGGTATAAAATATGCTTCCGTTTCAATTTTAGGCGTCACTGTAATACATTGATACTAACCACTAAATTAAGACTACTTTAAATAGTTACAACAGCAAGATAAGATCTACATCAAATGAAATGATACAGACTGGGAATTGAGATCATGCAGTTGAATATATCGTCTTGATTTGATTGTGGAAACTTTGAATGCTTCTATATCTGTTCATTACAACATTCTGAGAAAGTGTTGTGCATCACAGTCCTGCATATACTTTTTGTGATATTCATCCTAATTGCTGAGTACATTCAATTCTCGATACTTTTATTTACCCTCGTTTTAACTGTATGTCAAATATGTCATCCTGAGTATAGATAGGATTTGTGGGGATTATGGATTAATTTCATTTATTAGGTTTTCGTCACGAACCAACACCAGCTGAAGAGATCATTGGAAGCCAGGGATTGTTGAACAGCTGTTTCGTCCGATCATAGGACTCTTCACAGTGCATACTCACTACACCGCTGGGGGATTGAATCTAGGACCTTCAGGTTACAAGACAAAGCTCTTTGACCATTCAGGCACTTGGGCTGGATTCTAACTGTATCATATCTTCATACAGAGGTGCCTGTCTCGTAGCCTGAAGGTCCCACTTTCAATGCCTGGAGGGGCTTTAGGTGTCCACTGTTGAAGAAGCCCAAGGTAGGACGAGAATTATGTCTAGTGCTCCCTGGTTTTCAGTGATCTCTCCAACTGATCTTGGTTATCGATGAAAATCTAGCAGTTGAAATATGTCATTTTAAATGTTTCTGTTAATGATGGTGTGAGTAGGTTTTCCTACGCTAAACGTGACAAGAAAGGCCCGTACTCATTGTTTCACACTGCAAAATGTTTGCCTGACTAAATGACAAATGAACCAACAATGTAAAATATTTATATAAGTGAGGAAAAATAAGATATTGGAAACTTTTTTGTTATTTTTTTCGATCTTTTGGGTTCCGAGTGGAATATAGGGCTTTGAGTCTGAGGTCTCAAGTTTCAGTAATAGTGGGCATTTTACCAAGTGGGTTTTCCTACTTCACACCTAACCTTTTTCTTTGCCTGGGTTAATACCGTTTAAAATAAGTTTCAGGCTGCGTCGTCATAGGATCACACTTGAGCCTCATGTGTATTTGGCGAACATTCTACCACTGAACCACTGACGAAGAAGAAACACTATCCGGGCAGGGGGCATGCATGTGACGTACAACCCTCTTCGAAACTTGCACACAACCATTGGTCCACGTAGTATCCCTTCGTTCTTGGCAGATGTGGCAACTAAAAGTCACTAGAACACTATCAGAGCATATGACAGGTTAGATACCGAAATAATAAGTATACTAGCATCAGTTTGAACGATTTCGATCCATTCTTCCTATATTTGATGGCTTCTAACTACCCATTTTCAACCCACGGATATAATAACAGTACATGATGTCTTGGCCATCATATATAGTCATATTGGGAAGTCATCTTGTCAAATGCAAGATGATGTTACAGGATTGGACTACACAGACTATTAGATCAGAAATAGGAAGTGAAGTGGTAGAGCACGTTGACCGCTTCACTGACTTGGAAAGTACCATCAGCCCCAACGGGTTGATCTCTGGCGAAATCTCAGCACGGATACAGAAGGCTAGTTTCGCATATGCCAGTTTACGCCGTCTCTGGCGTAGACGTGATATCCGACTATCGACCAAAGGGCGTGTGTACTGCTCAACAGTTCGCTCCGTCCTCCTTTATGGCTGTGAGACCTGGCCATTGAGAGTAGAAGACATGAAAAGATTAGCTGTCTTCGGTCATAGGTGTCTGAGTTCTATCTCCCGTGTGAAGTGGTATGATAAGGTGAGCAATATTGAGGTCAGGCGTCGAGTGCTAGGTAAGGAGGGGAAATCAGTCAACGAGGCTGTGAAATTACATCGACTGAGATGGTTGGGACATGTGCTACGTATGCCTAGTCATCGCCTTCCTCGACGGGCAATGGCAGCTGAAATAGAGCCAGGCTGCAAAAGAGCTAGCAGCGGTCAAACCAAAACATGGCACCAGTCAATGAAATCTACAACAGTTAGTCTAAGCCACGTAGAAAGGTGTAGACTTCCTGGTTGGGGTCCTGGGAACGGGAAAAACCAATGGTTGGAAACAATTGGTTGGTGATAAGGGGCGCAGATGGATCCACTCCTTGTGACTTATGATTTCCAATGAAACTGTTTTGTTCTTCGTTATTACTATTCCTTTGTCTCACACCTCTGTTTACTGTCTCTAATATTCATTTCTCCTAATTTCTTCTCTTCCTTTTGTACTACATGGAGTGTGGCGACTTGAACTGCCGCACATATGTGCAAAGTTCTATGTCGAAAATAGATAGACAGACATAGTCATATTTGAATATTTAACTGCATGGCTGTTTTTTTCAAATTTTTTGCAGAATATAATTCTTTACATCACGATTATTAGAGGCTGATTACTTATATCGTTTTTTTCATTAATTTCAAGTGACTATATAATAACATCAGGCCTATAAGAATAAGTGCGTTATTCATATACAACTTGGTAAATGAAGAATCTCTTATGGGTGACCTAGTTCTATCCATTTTAGTTTAATCCTTTCTAATTGTTTGGGGGATTTTATTGATTTCCAAAGAGAGTTATATCTTACTTGTTTATAACATATATTTTGATCTCCTTTTCCGCAATATTTTCTTGCTAATCACCTTGTCAAAAGGTAATAGCAACATTCATGTATGTGTATATATGAATGAGGATGAAGTTATAAGGATATGGTACTGTGGTACAGTATAATTCTATAATAGAATAATCTTATTTGATGTAGCAGAGCGCCCACAGTTATACCGATGTCTTGAAATAAGTGCAATACACTTGCTCACTATCCAATTCCAGCTTGAATGAGATGTAGACTTTACATTCAGTCTCTATTTGACCATAAATTTCTTAGTTCACTTTGTCGTGTTGAGTAAATTATTGTGATCAGTTAAAATAAGGTTAGTTCGTTGAGTGACGTCACGCTCCAGGTAGACCGTTGAGTGGAAACCGAATGAGGAACGACGAGTTGGCTGTATGTCCGATGGTGACGTGTAGGAGATCGTGTGAAGAGGAGAGGAGGGCTTACGGGTAATCGTTGAATCAGCTAAAGAGGACTGCAGGGGACAGGAAGAAATGAAGATTTGCTGTTGAATGACCATGTTCTGTCTGGAACCTAAGGGAATAATAATAAAAATAAGGTTAGACATGGAGTGTTAAGTAAGGAGAAAACGTCTATGAATGTGGTGTAAACTCCCATGTGTTGTGATGGCAACCACCCCCCTACAGGATCAATGTCAGCTAAAAAACGATAAGGCTGGAAAAGAATTACGGTCAAATGAAGGTCTCTGACATTGATATGAGCTATGTGTTGAATTGTAGACTGCCCAGCGAGAGGTTTTAGGGTTCCAAGGCTCAGTATCTCAGGTGTATCCAATCCTTATCATCATCTGCATTCTGAAAATCCTCAGTAAACGTCATTTGTTGTTCCTTCTTCAGTACACTTTGTTTTATTCTTGTTCCGTTATATTTCTTTTCTTAACCT